ATATATGAGTGCCCTTAATTTCTTATAGCTATGAAAAATTTAAAGAGCTTGACTACAGAATCCCATCTGTACTGTCATTTACCCTTGTGGGATACGTGAACTGGTGAACTCTTCAGAGAGAGGAGTTTGATAGTACCTATCACAACTGTAACAGTGCCTTTCCCTCTATCAGCAATCCTAGCTCCAGGCAGATGCTCCAGTCGTCTGTTACTGCTTAACAAGGGGCCCTAACACTTACTGCCGGTTGACTGGGAGAGTCTCATCCAGGGTCTCTCGTGCAGATGCAGCTGGGTAGAGGCTGGGCTTGCAGTTAACCGGAGGCTCAGAGGTTAGACATCCAAGATGGCACACTCCCATGATTAGTAGTTGGTTCTGGCTGTGGCTGAGAGCCCAGCAGGGCTGCTAACTGGACTACCTTTCCATGCCCTCTTAATGGAACTTGGGCTTTTCATAGCATGCTGGCTGGGTTTCTACAGGGAGTGTCTCATGAGTCAGTGTTCTGAAAAGGAAAACAATGGAAGATGCCAAGCCAGTTAAAGGCAGTTCCACACTGGTCCAGTGTCACTTCTACCATGTCCTGTTGGTCACAGTAGTCACTGGGTCCACCTTCCCACCAAGCTCTTAATACGGTCGTTGAATTTGTTCTCCTAAATTCGTTCTCTTCATTTTATACAATATAAGATCTCTTTTACATAATAGGCTTTTTCCTTTAGGGTCCCTTGAGTCTAAGCAACAGAAGCTGATACAAACAGGAGAGCTTGTGGTGAATGAGGGCTGGTGAGGAATGGGGCTCGGAATGAACAGAAAGTACTCAGTTCTCTCTCCTGGGTTCTGCTCCTGGCGTGAATAAACTCTATGATTGATTCTACTCTTGTTCTTCAACTCAGGGGACAATATGCCATGAGAGACCCTGACATAGGCCAAGCTTATGTTAGGAACCAAACCTCTGCTTGAGGGCAGAGGGGGAGAGATCTGGCATAGGGAGCTTCTGAGGCCTCTACAAGGAGAGAGCAGGCACTTCTGAGGCCAAACACCTGTCATATAAAGGCCAGCCTCCGGTCTGTCTCCCTTAGCCCAAGGTGTGTTTTTATGAAGAGGAATTCGCTGAACTGCGAGTGTTGTACAGCTGGCCCTGCAAGATTCTAATCACTGGATTCAAGAAGGCATTTTCTTCTGCTGTAGATAAAACCTTGTTGGCAGTATTGTCTGGAGGCGTTTGTTAAGGGGAATTGTCTGGGGCAGAAGGAAACTGCCACTTACATGTACCCCCCCCAACCAGACCAACTAGAGCCCGCCTGGCCATCATCAATTTTCTAAAGAGCACAGCATTGTAGACCAATAAATGGAAGGTACAGGTATCACTGACCAACCAGGAACTTGGACATGAGCTGATCACACACATAGCAGCCCCAGCTTCAATCTATAAGAAGCTTTACCCCTAACTGCTCTGGGATCTCAGGAATTAAGCTTCTTGCCCTGTGCTTTGCAATAAATGCCTACTTTCTTCCACCACCCCAATTTCAGTGATTGGCTTTTTGCACATTGGGTGAGCAGGCCCAGGTTTGCGGGTGCTATAGCAGCCCCTCAGCTGCTTTGGGTTGTTGTTGAACAATACCCGACTTTCATCCCAGTATGATTTAACCTAGCAGGCGAGAGGCAATATGCTAAAATGGACAATGAGGTCTGGATGAACAGATAAAGGCTATCCTTTCTGCTGGGTTTGGTCTCTAATGCCTCCTCCTTAAGTTACACCAGCAACCAGATACAAACCTGGGGTACAACTCACAAAGGACTTTGGAGCGATACACAGCTGGTTCAGACACCTACTGGATGGGTGACTATGGACAACTGCAACCTTTCCCGTACTCAGTTTTCTTCTTTGTAAAACGGGGGCAAGTAGTGCTTAACTCTCACGGTTCTCAGGAGAATTAGACAAGCTTTGTGAAGTGCTTTGCAAGACTCTGGCCCACCGTAAGCCCTTAATAAATGAGAGTCGTTGCATCACACTTCATGATGGAGTAGAACAGACCTGCCCCACCTCTGTTCTTCCTCCAAAATGGGCGGTGGATTACAAGTTATCCAAGAGCAAGAGGCACTGTGAGGTCCACTCACTGTGTGCATTAGGTGTAAACTGAGGAGGCTCAGGCCACACTAGGGAGGAAACATGGCTGCCCATCCCAGCATGCTGGCAACTCTGCACCCAGAGTTTTGGGAAGAAGGGCTGGAGCCGCACCACCAATGACATCTTTGAGTGCAGCTCCTCTCACAGCTGTTTCTCACGCACAGGGTGTCAGGCACGCTATATGCTATTTTAAGCTGCAATTCCATGTTCAGCTACATTTCTCCTCTTTTCATTCCTGGGCTTTTCTGTTCTTTAAACAGAACTTTGCTCTTTTTCATGTCTTCTAACCCTCTGAGCGTAATGGGATGAGTTCAGGACTCCTGCCATCCTCAGAATTGCCTTGCTTTGAGAGGGTATTCAGAATCTTTTAATGGTACTTTAATGTCAGGTGCAAAATGAAGCCTTTCCCAAGTCTTTAGAACACGCTTGAAAGGACAAAGTGGTCTTGTCACAGGCTGCTGCGACGCGCTCAGAGCTTTGCCACAATCCGTCTTGCAGCAGATGGACTCTTCATGAGGTGCACCTTGCACCCGCCTGGGAATTCACTGCATTGGGTGAAGAGACACGTTTGCTTTTTGCTGCAGATAATTATTCCCTTTTGTGTCTTGACCCTTAGTTCCACAATTATCATCAAATTCAAATTCTTCTCTTTTTCTCTTCTTCTGGGCTGAAATGCTAGGAGAGGTCAGTTGGATGAATGATCGGCTTTCTTCAAACAACTTGGCCTGCACTGAAAATACCAAGACCAAGGATTTTAGGATTTGGTGGGGACAGAAACACAGTGTTCCTGGCATTCATGTGCCTGAAGTTCAGTGATGACGACAGATCCTATTCTGTTGCCTTTGGCATCTGTCTACTGCAAAGCTCAGGCTTAGACTCCTGTGAACTCCGTGTTGTGAAATCATCTTTCAAAGTCTCCCTTCCTTGTCCCAATTTTCCTCCTGGCTTTCTGTCTTTTTTAAAGGTTCTTTTTGACCATTAAATATTGAGGAAGCTCAAGACTTAGTTCGGTCCCCATTCTGCGCTCATCCCTTATTCTCTTGGGAATTTCAATAGTTTCTTACAGGCAGCTGACTCAGAAACCCCTCATTAGAAGTTCCTGAACCTGACTTCTGGATCTCAAACCCACGTGCCCGACGGCCCCTGACATCCCCAGGTGGGTGTGTCAAAGTCTCCTGAAATTCAGCCTGGTATGATAAGAACTCCGGAGTCCCCCCCTCTTAGAAGCTGCCTGCTGTGGTCTGGATGTGGTTTGTCCCCCAGAGGTCCTCAGTGAGCTGAGGATGGGAGGTAGAACCTTTAAGAGGTGAGGCCTTGTGCGTCCTCTGGTCACTGAGGGGTCAGATGGCTGAAGAGTTTAAGGTCACTCATGAGAGCTAGTGGTTATAAGAGCCAGCTCAGCCCTTGAGTCTTCTCTGGCTTGCTGTTGGTGATTTGATCTGTCCCCCTCCCCCAACTCCTGTACAGTGCAGCCCAGAGGGCCCTCATCAAAGCAGAGGCAATGCCAGTGCCATGCCATGGAGAGCTAAGGGAATTTGTATTCTTTATAAAGTTAGCCTACTTCAGGTGTTTCATGATAGTAAATATAATATAGTAATGAAAACTAGGGGCTGGCATTGTGGCGTGATGGGTAAAGCTGCCACCTGCGATGCCGGCATCCCATGGGGCACTGGTTCCTGTCCCAGCTGCTCCACTTCTAATCCAGTTCCCTGATAATGACCTGGAGAAGGCAGCAGAAATTGTTCAAGTGCTTGGGCCCTTGCCATCCACGTAGGAGACTCAGATGAAGCTCCTGACTCCTGGCTTTAGCCTGGCTGAGTCCTGGCTTGCTGTAGCCATCTGGAGAGTGAATCAGCAAATGGAAATTATCTCTCTCTGTGTGTCTCTCCTTAAAAAATCTCTAAGAGATTTATTTATTTATTTGAAAGGAAGAGTTCCAGAGAGGCAGAGGCAGAGAGAGAGAGAAGTCTTCCATCTGCTGGTTCACTCCCCAGATGGCTGCAATGGCCAGAGCTGGGCTGATCTGAAGCCAAAAGCCAGGAGCTTCTTCCAGGTCTCCCACATGGGTGCAGGGGCACAAGGACTTGTGCCATTTTCTGCTGCTTTCCCAGGCCGTTAGCAGGGAGCTGGATCAGAAGTGGAACAGCTGGGACCTGAACTGCTGCCCATATGGGATGCATGCCATACCACAGTGCTGGACCCTAAATAAATCTTTTTTTAAATGAAAAATGGACAAATACAGGATTGCCATGTCTATGAATAGCGACCTCATCCACCAACCTCCAAACGAAAACTGACAGGACGTGTCTTCCTCCTACCTTCTCCTTTCTAGCGCATCATTAATCACTGCTATTTTCTCTCCACTTGTTTGAGCCCCCTCTCCAGCACCCTGGCCCACATCACCTTTGTGGCTGAGACTACTGGTTTTCTCTGTGTATGGCTCCAATTTGTTTCCCACATTATAATCTTTCTAAGACACAAATCTTGCATTCCCGTATGCCTAAAAACATTCTGAGTTTTTCCCAGTTGATTTGTAAGAAGGCCAATCCTTAGCATGTCCACAAGGTCGTTCACTCTCTGACACCCACATACCTCTCCAGCTTGCAGTCTTGCCTTCCCTCTACCTGTGGCTGTTTATGTCGCCATCACAGCGAGGCACTGGTGCACAACGTGTACTCTCCCTCCCCCACCTCTCTCTTACTTCAGATGATGGTTGCTCCTGTTCAGAGCTCTTCTCAATGATCATTTCCTGGGGGAAGGCTTTGCTTTCCTCCCAGGCAGGTCAAATCTTCTTGTGAGTGCTCTCAGAGTGCTATAAGCCTCTTGATCACAGCACTTATCATAATGGGCTTGTAGGATTCTCTCATTGGCTGTCCTATGCATCCCCTTTTTTTACATCATCACGTTGTAGCACCTAGTAATATAACCGTATCAATAAATATTTTAGATGAACAATAATAACTGAAGTCCTGAAGAAAGTCATGCTGCTCAAGAATCGAACTAAATAAGCTTCCATGGAATCTCAGTACTTGTAGAACTTGCTTTAGGTGGGAGGGAAATAACACGGGGAAGATAGAAACAGAGAGGGCAAGGGACACTCTGGTCTTTGCTCCTTATTGGGAATGTGAAATATTTACAGTGTCAGTCTCCTGCCCCATGAGGCTGCTGTTTCTGCAGAAGCTGGGTTTGTGATGGGAAGGAAATCTATCAGAGCATGGGCTTTGTGTCTTAAGGACTGCGCTGTTGGTAGCCACATGTTAGTTCTACACTGTTCCATTCCTATGCTCAACAAATTTAAGGAATGTGCAGTCCAGTGAGAGAGCCAAGGCTGTTAGGCATGAAGCATGAGAATGGCAGCACAAGGCTCACACACTAGGCTTGGACTCAGTGCTTCCATTGAAGATGGAGCCAATCTCTTCTTCTGGAAAATGAGAGTCATAGAATCAGGGTGGTTTGTGGGATTTGATGGGACAACCCAGGTGGTACACTCTGCATGGAGAACAAAGGGTCAAAGTTCCAAGCTCTGAGCTTGGCTGCATAGGCTCTGAGCAGATGGAAAGGAGGGAGCAGGATTGGACCTTGGACTAGGGGAATGTGTAGAACATGGAAGAGGAGGAATAAGAGAGAGGCAGATTTTGGTGAGAAAAAGGCACAGAGGCAGGAAGAGAGCTTGCCTTGGGTGGGAGGGAGATAACACAGGCAGTGAACAAATCCATGGAGGCTCAGACTTCACGCCACGGCAAGCCCGGGGAGGTTTGTTAGCCAAAGAAGAACTTAATATTCCCTAAGACATATCCCTTGATTAAAAACCAAGAAGCAAATAAAACTAACCTCATGGGGTTCGACTTTGGGGTTGTCAAGTACTTGTAGAATGCAAACAAAATAGTGAATCACTTGGAATTATGGCTAAATATTTCAGCCCTTCATCTCCAAGCAAAAAGAAGAGAGCACACAGGGTTCAGTACACGGATCACCTCTATAACATGCCAGAACGAACTTGCTCAACCTCAGCTTTCTCACCTGCAAAATAGAATTGAAATGTCATCTGACAATGAGAGTTTCTACCTGCCAGGCACCAAAGTATGTTTTGTAATGGCAGCAAGCTGAACACTGGGTTGTGCGATTTTTATGAATTTGCTGCTCCTGACCACCTATTGAGGTAGGCTTGCTATTATCCCCATTCTGCCCTGGAGGCATAGAGAGCTAAGCAAATTGCCCAGCAGACCCCTGATCCAGGTTCTGATCCACGAAGCTGGCCTGCCCCAGTTGCCACCTCCCAGGGTTGGGCCAGGAGCACGTGGACTAATGTATGGAGAACACAGAACCACTCCCCAGTTGTAGAGAGTGCGCAATCCATCTTCATTCCTTCTTACAGTTGTTTGCATTTAGCACAGTAATTTATCACGTACGACTCTGTTTCAGGTGTTCCCCGTTTATCGCCTAACAATGGTAAATAAATTCCTTAAAGAAAGGGAAGGTACTATAGTGTGTGTTCTTTTGAAGCTTTCTCGGTGCATCTAGAGTTTCTTGGTAGAAATCTCTTAAAATGAACAGAATAACTGCTTACTGATTGAATAAATGAAAGATTCCATAAAAACAGCCAATGTAGAATATGACTGATTGCTTTTATAGCTTATTTATTTTACCCCACTGAATTGTAAAACAGGATTTCAGGAGGATTATAAAAATCTGTAAGATTCAACAGCATAAAAGTAAACAAGGGCGAAAATTGGAGTGAAGGGAAAATAAAATAAAGCAAGGGTGTTTATTTCTTGGTCGTTGCTTGATAGAAATTTGTTAGCCAATCACCGAGATGAAACCAGAAAATTTGCCCAGAACCAAAACATTCCTGTGGGGTGTTTGATGGGACACAGTTGAAGCAGCAAAAGGAAAGGGAGGCAGGAGTGGGATACTGGGGAGATGTGGGGCTGTGTTGGGTTTGGCTGCTAAGAGCACACCAGGTTCTCTTTGGGGCCGAGGCACCCAGACTGCACTCCACAAAGACAGACTTCTCTCTGATGTAGACAGACAAGCCACTGGCTTACGTCACCACCCTAAACCACGCTCATTTCCATTTTCACCTATCTGCAAGGTCTCTCAACCTCTTTTTAAAAAAAATTTATTTATTTGAAAGGAAGAGTTACAGAGAGGCAGAGGCAGAGAGAGAGGTCTTCCATCTGCTGGTTCACTCTCCAAATGGCTGCAATGGCCGGAGCTGGGCTGATCCAAAGCCAAAAGCCAGGAGCTCTTTCCAGGTCTCCCACGTGAGTCTGCAAGGTCTCTTCATCAGCCTTTTTATTTCCTGGTCTCAAAGTCCATTAGAATACACACAAGTAAGTCCCATGGCAACAAAGCATGGTGGAATAAGGTTAAAAGTTTGCCTGGACAGTGGGCATTTAGCCTAGTGGTTAAAACGCCTGCCTCCCACATTGGAGTGCCTGGGCTTAATTGCTGCATCGGCTCCTGATTGTACTTCCTGTTAACGCTGTCTCTGGGGGGCAGCAGTGATGGCTCCGTGGTTGGGTCCTTGCCACCCACTTGGGAGACCTCGAGTGCGTTCTCCGCTCCCTGCTTTCAGTGCAGCCCAGTGTTGTTAGCATTTGGGGAGTGAACCAGTGGCTGGAAATTCTGTCTTTCAAAATGATAAAAGAAATTAATAAATAAATAAAAATTAAAAAAAAAAAAGATAAAGACCATCCATAGGCTACCTGTCCCTCCTATCTAATTTGGCTGCTCTGTAGGAGTGGGATCTCTCTAAACAGTGCTTGTCAGTTTTGGCTGTCCATTAGTATCACCTGGTAGCTTTTAAAACTCTGCAATGTCTGAGCACCATCTGTGTGGAGTCAGATTTTAATTGGCCTAGGTAGGGCCCCAAATGAGTCCAATTACAGCCAAGGCTGAGAGCCATTTAGCAGGCGCAGGATCCCCTGGGGAGCTTGTTAAAAGGCAGATTGCTGGTCCCCCCATCCCAGAGTTTCTGACTCAGAAGGTGCGGAGTGAGGCCCAAGAATCTGCATTTCTAACAGCCTTGCAGGTGATGCGGATGCTGCTGGTCCGGGGACCCCACTTTGAGAATCACTGCTGCAAAGCAACAGGTGAGCCAGAGCGCTGGCCTACGAAAGTTATTTAAGCGACAGATGTTTCTATGTTGTTGAGGTAAATTTCGTGTGTCCTTGTATTTGCTTAACAAAGAATGCTAGAAAAATAAAAATGGGAATGGAGCACATGTCTTCCCAGAACCTTTACCAAATACCATCATACGATGTGCAAACAGCAGCCGCAGGGGCTAACACTTACTGCACTAGCTGTCAGGCAGGCATGGAAACTTCAGGGCATTCGCCTCTTTAATCCACATGACAACCCTAGGAGGTAATTACTGCAGTACCCCACTTTAGAGATGGGAGGTTTTCAGCACAAAGACTATGATGGGTACTTACGCATTTTTAACCAGAGCATAAAGTCAACTTTGTATTCAGCTTCTTTAACTTAGTGAGTTGGCTTATTTCCCAATTTGAACAGACTCCCATTGCATTCACAAGTCACAGTTTTCTTGTCATTGGACATTTAAATGATTCCCATTTTGCACAATTAGATTTAATATAGCAATGATTGATTTCACTTAGTGCGTACCTTGAATTATTTTCTTAGGACAGAGTCACAAAAGTGACCTTGCTCGGTCAAATGATAAAATCACCCAGCTTTGATTATAAGATCCTGGAATAGAAGAAAGTGAAAACCAAATGTTTTCAGAATTTTTCATACTGATTCATTCTCTGTGTAAGTTTAGATAGTTTATATAAGGGACTTCAAAAAGTGTGTAGAAGTGGAATTAAAAGACAAACCCATTTTGGTGCAAAACATGTTTGAAATATATGCATAGCTTTTTTCCTAATATACATTTTCCAAGAGCCTTTGGAAGAAATACCAATGGTAGTGTAATTTAAAGATTAAATTTAAAAATTTTATAAAATCTGGCCCTCTTGTAAACCAATGCAGGCTACCTCCAAGGCTGCCAAGTTCTTCAAGAAAACTTTTAGATTTATGAAAGCAAAAGATGTTTCCACCCTTTTCTATTGGAAATCACCCCAAAACAACGAGGCAGCGAGTACCAGAAACACAGCTCCATCGTGGAGAACACCAGGAGACACCACTGTGCAAGCAGAAGGCAGTGGAGGAAAGGCGAGACCTAGGGAGTACCTGAAGAAAGATTTGGGCATGAGGCAGGAGATACAGGCTGGAAACAAGGCGGTCTGCCTGAGGACTGGCAGAGTCCCCCAGTCTCCAGTCCTAGCACCTAGAAGCAGAGGAGATTCTCCAGAGAAAGTGATTAGAGCTCCCAGCTGTGGGGATGCCAGGCAGAGCCAGGGCAGGAGTGGCAGCCCAGACTCAGGGAATTGGAGGAAAGTCTGTGTCTTAGACGGGGAGGCCTCCAGCCCCAGGCCCAGGCGGCATCAGGCATTGAGCTTCCCTAAATGGCTCAGCAGTATGCTGCTATGTGGATGTCTTTAATGTTGAAAGCATTAAAGTCCTGGGCAGGTGTTTAGCCTGGTGGTTAAGGCGCCTGCATCCCATTTCAGAGTACATGGCTTTGATACAGCTCTACTCCTGAATCCAGCTTTCTATTAGTTAACGCAAACCCTGGGAGGCAGCCATGATGGCTCAAGTAGTTTGGTCCTGCCACATGTAGGAGACTTGCACTGAGTTCCTGGCTTCTGGGTTCAGCCCTGGTCCACCTTCAGCTATTGCAGGCATTTAGGGAGTGAACCACCAGATGGGAGAGCTGTCTGTCTCTTTATCTCTCAAATAAAGCAATGTTCCAGCATCCCATGTGGGCACCAGTTTGAGTTCCTGCTGCTACACTTTGGATCCAGCTCCCTGGTAATGGCCTAGGAAAGCAACAGAAGATAGCCCAAGTGTTTGAGCCCCTGACTGCACATGGGAGATCCAGACAAACCTCTGGGATCCTGGCTTTGGCCTAGCACAGCCTCAGCCATTGTGGCCATTTGTAGAGTGAGCCAGTGGATGGAAGATATTCTCTCTCTCTCTTCTCTCTCTCTCTCTCTCTCACTCTGTCTCTCGTCCTCTCTGTGTGTAATTGCAAATAGATAAATAAATCTTAAAACAAAAAATGATCTTTTAAAAAAGATTAAACCTTTAGAAAAGAATTATATTCCATATATTAACACAAAAGTTGAGCTATAATCATATCAGAAGGAGGCTGAGTTTAAAAGGGATAGGGTGTGAGAGCATTATCTCCTTACTTTAATGGGTATTGTATATAATATGGACATATTTGAAAATATGGAGGTACATAGAGAATATGCAGTTAAGTTCTTACTTGCCTCAAGGAACCAGGGTGACAAAGGGAGTGTGAGTGCTGATGTTTTGCATTAGGAACACTCATTGACTTGTTCATGATGTGAGTGTATTTCTTCAACACAATTACCATTGAAGAAGGAAGAAGTTGCTCAGGCACTTGTCTACTAAACTGATGCGCCTTATGTGCTGAGCCTCCAAATGAGAGGACACTCTGAACTGGTGAGTTAGATTTTCATAGATGGATTTTGTTTAAGCAGGCCACTGTTGGAGATTGCAGATTATAAAAAAGAGTCCATGCTACTGGGGAGGTGATTCATTGGCCAGGAGCTAAAGGGAGAACCCTGATTCCTAACAGAGGAGTCTGGACTCACCTACAGCCAGGATCCCTATTGTGGACTTCCTTCTTGTCGCTCCCCCTCTTCACAGAGGAACGACACAGGACCCTGCGCTGTTCTTTTGTCTGCTCGGCCCTCCCCGGGTTTTCTGCTGGTTCTTCCCGGGTTGGCTGCCGTCCCTCCACCTCTGTGGAAGGGCGGTTCCCCCTGCCACTTTCCCCACTTCCGCGGGGGAGCGGCACACCGCCAGCCGGCTCTCTCGGGGGCTGCTCAGATGTTCCTTCAGATAGATGTTCCTGCTGCATGTTGTCTCTCTCCTCCTTTATAGTCCTCTTCCACCAATCTCAACTCTGCTACCCACACGCCGAGTACGCTGCTCTCCTCCAATCAGGAGAAGGTCCTACAGTTTATTGGTTGAACTGGAGGCAGCTGTGTAGAAGCTGTTTACTCCTCTCCCAGCGCCATATTGTGGGAGAGCAGATGCATAGAATAAGTCTTAATTTGAGTAACTTAGTCTAGTCCGAGTTGCTCCTCACACTTCTGGTCTCAATTATAAGCCCATCCTCAGCACTGCCATCCACTTGATGAGTCATTGATACTGTCGGGAGAGTCTAACTAACCCGTCATTCCAACTAGGAGATCGTGGAGCCAGCTCTCTGTTGCCATAGAAACAGTGCAGCTCAAGTCTCTCTGTTGCTTTGGTAACCCTCCCCCATAGCCTCACATCACTACTGCTGGGGGATTTTGCTGCCAAGATAATGGTCTCCATTATGGATTGAATGTTAATGGGCCACTACTGCACTGCAGCCCACACCCTGCCCCTTCTGCAGCTCCACGTTCGAAGGCTTTATCTAAATGGCATCTCAACGAGATGATAACAGACACTCGAATCAGATGGAGAAGAGCTGTCTGATGGTGGTGGAGTGGGGGTACATGAAGGGTTCAGTTTTTAATCTGAATAGGGAGGCATACTTTCCAAGAACTCAGAGAGGCTGGGATGGGGACATTGTCCATTAGAATGGCTCAGCTGTGTGCCAGGCCCACAAGCCAATCTCCCAGTCAATAATGGATCGTGATAAATAAGTCTGACTCAGTCATGAATACCTGTAAGTGTTAGTCACTAGGTTAAGTGCTTTATGCCCATTCAATCCCTATTTTACAGAAAAAGAAAAGGATAAGTAACTATTCAGCATGACATTGATTCAGATTCAAGCTCAAATCTCCATCACTGCACTAAGCTATGGCTCAGTTGGGATGAAGGAAAACAAGAGAAGCATCAGAGAATGTCTGGGAACCAAGAGGGTTTACTCTTCAACTGGAAAGAGAAATTTAGTATAAAGGTAAAAATGAAACAGTGATGGAGTGTGACATTCAGGTGCCTTGTGGTGAAGTGGCTGCCTTGGGCACAGGTAATGTATCAGATTTCCCGTAGCAGAAAGGAGAGTGGATGCTTCTGCAGGTGCTGAGAGGTCCAGAGAACAGGGACACATGCTTTAGCCTCCAACCTTATACAGCAAGAACCCGGGGCAAGTTCAGGCTTCAGCCACCGACAGGTGTTTAGCCTAAGTCACCGGCAATTGGTAGTCAGTTTTCAGTTGCTTAGCAAAGGACAACCTTTGCTCTTCTCTCCATCTGAGATTCAAATTTACTTGACACTGTCTGACTCTTTGAAATACAAAAAGAGTTGAGGTTTCATAAAAAATTGTTTTAAATTTTATTGCTCTCAATTTCACAATTCAATAATCCTATTTTCTTTACAAGTAGCTTTTCTTTTAGTCCCCTCAAGTTCTCATGTCATTAAGTGGAATATAAATATTCAGATATAGAATTTTTATGGTGTCTTGGTTATTTTTTTAAGCAGAATGATAATACTTTGACTTATCCTCCTATAACTTCTAACTCCATCACCATCCTTCTCCTGTAAACCTCCTAGCATTCGAGGCAGCTACAGCAGTCTGGAGGAGCCATGCAGGGGTATACTGGAGACACTGACACCTCCGCAGGGCACTCCTGCAGGCAGCATCCTGTGGTCTCCATCTCTGGGGTTTCCTGTACCCAAAGCAGTGATTCTCAATCCTGAGCTCTTTCCGGTAACTCAAAGAACATCAAAAATGCCAATGGTCCCAGCCAAATGAATCTGAACTTTTTTTTTATTTATTTTTATATATGTACAGTGCTAGGAAATCTGAGAGGGAGCTGAAGGCCAGGTTCATCTGAGGGTATGATTGATCATTGGCTAAGAATGTGGCTTGGGAATGAGACTCCAGATTTAAGCCCAGTTCAACCTCTCTCTGTCCTCTCTCCCAATATCTCTGTGACCTTGGGCAAGTCACTTCATTTTCTAAGTCTCATTTTCCTCATTGGCAGAACCTGCCACAGAAGGCTTAGTAGTTACTTGCAATTTTTATTTTTGGAATAAAATGAACCTTGTAGGTGTTTAAAGTCTCCAGAAAGATGCTTCTGCCTTGACAAAGCTTAATTCTGTCCATCTTAACCTGTTCAGTACATTAACATGGAAATGTGTTTTTTCCCAGTGCTTCCTGCTACTTCTCCTTAGTGCCTACCGGGTTTGGCAGTTGAGCCCCTAATACCTTAAGTTTCTGATGCTGCTTTATCAAAGCATTTACCCACACAACATTCTGCATCCTGATTTCCATGGTTCTACTCTGGACTAAGACCTAGACCCCAAACCTCAGTTACTTCCTTTCTCAGCAACAAATTTCTGATATACTTGATGGTGGACTATATCCAGAATCCTAAGTAATAGGATTATGGGAGAAGCCTAAGGTCCTTGTAGGAAGAAAATAGTTGTCATCACATTGGGTGATTGGGAACTGCTGTGCCAGAACACAGAGGGAAATTTATCAATCAACCACAGTGCTGCTGGTGGCAGGGCTTATCATTAAGGCCATCTTAGCAAGAGGGATCTGCTGGTCTTGAGTAGCTTTGTTCCCTCATCCATGGGGAAGTTTTACCTTTCCCAGAGCACACATACTAGAGCACTGAGGAGAAGGGGGTTTCACTCAGCCATTAGCCTTAGGGAATGGGAACAATTTTGGTGATCTGTGGGGTGACAGGTGGGAGTGCCCCAATATGCTCACCTCCCCAACACTTTATGGTTGCAAAAAGAGACAGCTTGAATATTGCACTCAATGAGTCTGTAAAATTGTGGGATTGTGAATAGAATTAGATAGTTACGTGGAGAATCTATATGTAAAATAAATAAGCCTACATATTTGTATCTATGCGTGTATTCATTTATATCATTGTAACAAGCTACAAAAGCTATAGAGGTTAAAGATAATTGCCACAATATGCAGAGCTTAAACAGTTCTTTGAGAGGTGGGGTGGAATAAAATTCAAGATAATCATGTGGTTTTTTTTTTTAAGTTTTATTTGTTTGAAAGTCAGGGAGAGGGGAGAGGGGAGAAGGGAGAGGGGAGAAGGGAGAGGGGAGAAGGAAGAGGGGAGAAGGAAGAGGGGAGAAGGGAGAGGGGAGAAGGAAGAGGGGAGAAGGAAGAGGGGAGAAGGGAGAGGGGAGAGGGGAGAAGGGAAAGGGAAGAGAGTAGCGGGGAGAGGGGAGAGGAAGAGATGTCCTGCATCTGCTGGTTCACTTCCCAAATGGTCCCAATGGCCAGGAGCCAGGAGCTTTTTCTGGGTCACCCACGTGGGTGCAGCGGTCCAAGCACTTGGGCTCTTCCAGGCCATTAGCAGGGAGCTAGAACAGAAGTGGAGCAGCTGGGACTTGAATCAGTAACCGTATAGGATGCCAGCATTGCAGGGGCACCTTTCCCACTATGCCACAATGCCAGCCCCAATGAGATAATCATTTGTGTCTATGGCCATACCACCCTGAGCGTACCTGATCTTGTCTGATGATCTTTTTTTTTTTCGTGTTTGAGAGCCATGAAAATACAGTAGAAAAAAAATACTAAGTTGGAGACTTCTAATTCCAGCTCAACCCTTGCCAAGCAGTGTAAACTTGAACTAATCCCTTTGCCTCCTGTGTGATGCATGGATCTCCCACAGTTGGATGTGAGTGATTTGTAAATGTGTAATTTCCATGAAGCTGATAGTTCAGGAACCATTATGAGCCCAGGTATTTTTTTATAGTTGAAAAGTATTTTTAAGGGATTCATTGATATATTAGACTCTCAGGATCACAGCAAATGAATGGTAATTACTACAACACAGTTCTAATGTTGTTAATGTGGTATTAATACAGGGAAAACAGATTCAACATGGTTCATAAATGCAACTCTAAGACTATAATAACATTTGCCATCTTCCCTCCCTCCCTCATTCTCCCTTCTTCTTTTTTTTGTTTGTTTTTAAAGGTTTATTTTATTTATTTGAAAGACAGAGCTACAGAGAGAGGTAGAGCCAGAGAGAGAGAGAGAGAGAGAGAGAGTTATTCCATTCTGTTAGTTCACTCTCCAAATGACCGCAATGGCTGGAGCTGAGCTGATCTGAAGCCAGGAGCCAGGAGCTTCTTCCAGGTCTCCCACGTGGTTGCAGGGGGCCAAGGAGTTGAGAGCCCAGGTCTTAAGGTTTAGCATATCTACTCCTCTTTCTACTTGAAAATGCATGATTTTATTAAGTGAATTTTTCACTAATCCTCTACACACAGAGTGGTGCCAGGCAGTGCTGGACAGGTGTGAGTGGTGGGCTCTAGTTCCCATCTCAGAACCCCTGGAATGCAATGGGTTTTGTAGTCTTTCCCTTTGGGGGACTGAAATAGCCCCTAATTAGTCTTATGATCCCACTTGTCATTCCCTGAAATAATCCATTCGCTACACAGTAGCTAGAATAATCCACTTTCTCTAAAACATACTACTTTATACATATAGTCATAGAGACAAATATGCATGTACGTCCCCCCCCCCCCCCAAGCATAGTAAGATGAACACTCAAAGATCCACTGTCTGACCTAAGGGCCAGGACACAAGGCTGGTAACTACCTTTGTGTCTCCGGTCTCCTGCTGTTTTTCCTTCCCAGAAATATGTTTGAATTTTTCTCCTGAAGCTATGCTTTCACCCCATCTATATCCCCAAATAATGGATTGCTTCCTTTTACTTGTTTCTGAGCTTTACAGAGACAGCATCTCCCACTATGTGGTCTCCTGGGTTGCTTTTTAAAGTCCCGGTGATCCTCTGGTGCTCCATACCATTGTATGTGGTTGTTGTTCTATCATTTCTGCTATGTAGCCCATGTGTGATCTTCAGAAACGTCATCAGTTCATATGGCTCTCCAGCTGGGAGTCTTCAGTGGCCTCCCACTGAATGACAGGTGCAATTCGACTCCTAGTCTCCTCCTGCAATGCCCTCCACATGACTTCTTTGCAGTCCCCCAGGGGCTTCCTTTAGTCTGGGCATCGGCTTCTCTGTGCTGGCCCTGGCCTGTCGCTGCCTGGGACTTTTGGAATGTGCTGCCTCCCAACTTCTCTTGCTCCCTGTCTCTGAGCTTCCCAGCAAGCTCTCCTTACCTGTGTTCCCACCACACTGCCCTTGCTTTTACAGATCTGTGTGTCTCCTCATCACAGAGCCATTGCACAAAGAATACTACTGTCTGGTATTCTTGTTCTTGGTGTCTCCCTTGCTCTGGGGTGAGGGGCCCTGCTCTCTCTTCCACATCTCCCCAGGCTGAGTCCTATCCTCCCGTTTATTCTGCTCAGTGTGTGTCCAGCACAATGTCATTTAATCATATTGTCTTATTTGTATGATTACTTACTGTTCATTTTCCTTTTTTGAAACTTCAATGAGGTCAAGCACCATCTATCTCATTGGCTACTATATCCCTAGAACCAAGAACAGATTGGATAAAAAGCAGACATTCAGAAAATATTTGTTGGCTGGATGTGTGCTTGAATGCAGACATGAACTAATACATTTATTAACAGAGATCTTGATAGAACCAGAATTTGTTTACAAGATTCATCGCTATCAATGTCAGGGTCTTTTTACCTCTTCCCATCTCTCCAAAAAGAGCTCTGATATTCCTGTATCCCCTGTATCTTTGAATTCCAGACTGCTGCGTTTCTGTCTGTGGGTGACTCCTGTCGCCTCACAGGCCACAAGTATGCCATGGAGTACATTCTGTGTTGCAGGGCTGCCTCCATGCGAGCCCCTAGCTCCTGGGGCTCAGCGTTTCCATCACCTTTCCCGGTGTGTGTCTAGTACTGATTTCCTCTGTCCAAGGTTCTGAGCCTTCCTTTGGATTTCTCTGTCCTTGACAAAAAAAAAAAAAAGATGGTAAATATGAGGATGCGGAGGGTTAATGTGGCAGATGCTTCTGCTGGAGCCTGAGATGACATTTTAGCTTTGACCTGTCGAGTCCTTGCGACTTTCCAGAAATGGATTTGGGTAATGACTTGTCATTATGAGTAATTAGCATGTGTGGAAGTCTGAGACAACCTGCCTTATTTTATTTTATTTGTTAGCTTAGAAAACTTTACTACCCTTTTAACACTTCCACTGAGGTTGCATGTTTGGTAAGAGGCAAGATAAAATCATGGAAATAAAAGTTGAGCCATCAATGCCTAAATTTAACTCTTTACCATCCTGAAAGAAATGGGAGTGCTTGTATTTCTAGATGTATCTAGACACATCTTCCAGGCTTGACTAGATTTTCTTTCATTGCCTCATGTTCAACTCAGCATTTTTAAGTTGATACATGAGCAAGGAAGAGGACCATGGCTTTTTTTTTTGAAAAGATTGGAGTTTTTAAAATAAAGTTTTCTCTTTTTTAAGATGTATTTGCTTATTTGAAAGGCAGAGTAATGAGGGCAGAAAGAGAGAGGGAATCTTCCGTGTGCCGGTTCATTCCCCAAGTGGTCCAACAGCCAGATCTGGCCAGGCTGACACCAGGAGCCTGGAACTCCATCTAGGTCTCTACTGCCTCCCGGAGTGTGCATTAGCAGGAAGCTGGGCAGGAAGCAGAGGCAGGACTCAGAGGCAGGCGCTCCGATATGGGATGTAGGTGTCCCAAGAGGGGACTTAACCCACGGAGCCACAATGCCTACCCCAGAGCTACATCGTGCAGTTTCAACCCTTATAGGAAATCCCTGGGCTTGCAATAGTGCTGACCTTATTCAGTTCTGTGAAGACCAGTTCCAGCATGTTCACAAATCGATCGTCTCATTTAAATGCAGTGAGCACCTTATCTGTTGTAGGAGCAGACTGCACTGTGCTGCAGACTCTGTCAAGCTCTTGGAGATTGAATGGTGGGAACCAAAAAGAGCTGCCAGGCTGCCTTCCGGTGCAGGGAGACACTGGCTATGTGCAGACTCACAGGCTCTCACAGGGCAGCAGGGAGGCCACGGAGGTGGGCCCTTGTTACTGTCTGTCTTCCCCAAGCCCCTGCATTGTAAATAGGAATGAGGAACGTATGGAGAAGAGCAAATCAGATCCTTGTATCCCTTTGATTAATTCAAGTTTGTTGCTTATGAGATACAATGCATAGGGTAGAATAACCCCCTTTGTTATGGTACAATAACAAAATGCAGTTGGCTTCGGGTACGTAGCTTTAGAATTCTCTCTCTGCCTCCCTCATTCCTTTTCTCCCTCCTTTCCCTTCCTCCATTCTCTCCCTTTCTCCCTCCTGGCTTTTGCCTCCCCTGTCTCTCCTCATTTTGAATTTTTCCATATTTTTTTCTATGTAATTATGCCCAGCTTCCTTCCCTTTGACTCTCAAACTAGATTTTGCCAGTTTTAGTGAAGGGCTCTGATATGATCTAAGGGTTCCCAAAGCAGAGCGATTGCAAGATGATCCACTGGTACACAGAATTAGAAATCTTACTTCTACTTATTGTATCTGTACCATGAAAAATTAGCTTTTACTAATATATTCTTGCCGATAGTGCTCCAAGATCAAAGATGTTTAAATTGCTTGGGTTTGATCAGAACAATAAGGACTCGGTGGACAGTGGAAAAAGAATTCTGGTTGTAGTTGTAGATTCGAGCAGCTTGCTCTGTGATCTTTACCAGAACACTCACTTCCATCGTTGCCGGTTTCCTGCATTTATTTCCTAGATAGGCATGGAAGTACCTCAAGGGCTTACAACTCTGCTCTGACACTCCTGTGTGCACTGCTCCAGCTGCCAAGCCAATGAGCACTCTAGGAGTCCTTCCTTCTTAGCATATTGCAAAAGGAAGTAGTCATCACAGGTGCTATGGAGGGGAATGGAGCTGGGCCCAGGGCTCTCCATGAGAATACAATGGGTGTTGGTGATGACAATGGGTATTGGTGATGATGATGATGATGATGATGATGCATGAGTCACTTATACAGAGTCAGGCCCATCTTCCCATATTTGATAACCATTTACTAAATGTCTCTAGGTAGGGTGATATGTGCCAAGGATTTGGGGTATGAAGAGAATAGGAGTAGGTTGTACTCTCTGATGGTAGGTACAGACAGTTGCAACAGAGCATAGTGCTTTGATGGAAGGATCATGGCATGGTCAGGAGCCCAGACCCATGCATTTGCGAAATGTTGTATGTGGACTCTGCAAAATTTGCTGAATGTGCATATCTTGGGCCATTACCCCAGGACCATAGAGTGTCAGACAGTGGATCCTGGGAATATGCATTATGTAAAAGTCCTGAATAGTTTATAAATGATTCCAAAGGAAAGAAGCTGAAAATCTACCATTTACACTGCATTTTGGGGGGGTTGGTGCTCTGGCATATTGGGTAAAGCCACCACCTGCAGTGCCGGCATCCCATATAGGCACCGGACTTATAGCCTAGGAAAGCAGTGAGGATGGCCCAAGTGCTTGGGCCCCTGCTCTCATACAGGAGACCTGGAAGAAGCTCCTGGCTCCTGGTTTTAGATCTATGCAGCTCCAGCTGCTGTGGCCCTCTGGGGAGTGACCCAGCAGGTGGAAGACCTCTGTTTCTCTTTCTCTTTCTCTTTCTCTTTCTCTTTCTCTTTCTCTTTCTCTTTCTCTTTCTCTTTCTCTTTCTCTGCCTCTGCCTCTGCCTCTGCCTCTGCCTCTGCCTCTGCCTCTCTGTAACTCTGCCTTTCAAATAAATAATAAATGTTTTTTTTAAAGCTGCACTTGAGGTCTCAGAGTTTTTTTAGACTTAACAATTCCCAATCGAAAATGCAAATATGGGCTCCTGAAGGGAGCGATCTTGTGCCTTCTTTATAAATATCCCTGCCCATACTTAGCAGCATGCTCGGCATCCTTTGGGTATTCAGTGATGGATGGTGGCTGCATAGACAGCAGGTGCCACGTGTTATCAGGTGCTGCTCTTTGGGGGTAGAAGCAGAGAGGTATGTCAGGTCACTGTGTTTAAACAACTGAGCGCCATCGGAGGGCTCCAGGGGAGGAATCAGGAGTATCAGGAATGGAGACAAGGACTTTGAGAGGGGAAATGGGGCTGAGGTGAGGAGAAACACAATCCATTTCATGATGTCCAACAGCCTTTATCAGCGGCTACTGGGGACATTTGAGGACAAAACCCAGCTTTAATTTTGCTATTCTATCACCACCTTTATGTGCTGTTAGGATTTAGTCTAATTGTAAAGTACAGAGATATCTTTAACTTAAGGATGAGGCTTTATTTCTGGCATCATAATCAATACTACACAATCAGGGTCCATCTTCAGCTTTCCCACAGAGCAGGGGTAGCCATCCCTGTCCACTTCAAAGCATTGTTATTATGATCAATGGCAGTGCCATCAACATATTCAGACACCATGTTTCACCTGTTTCTAAAATATCAGCTCCAGGGAAACAGGGGTTTTTGTCTAATGCTCATTTGTGTGTCCCAGCCCCTCACATTGCCAGCATATTGTACGTAGGTCTTCAAACAGGGGTGGATAAATGACTTCCAGTGACTTTCCACTGAGATAGCAAAGGCAATAGAGCAAAAGTGGACTTCAGACCCGGGCAGAGCTGGGTACTAATGACGAGCTCTACCTCGGATTGCTGTGTGGCATTGGGCAAGTGACCGATCATTCCTGAGCCTCATTTATCTTCCCCCCACCCCCTGAACGTGGAAGTGATAATATCAACCTTGTAAGGTTAATGAGCACCAAGAGATCATACACACAAAGCTCCTTGTCCGGTGCCTGGCACTGAGTTGACAGCTAAAGACAATGCTATTATTGGCTGGAAGTTTCCAAACTGCAAGTATAAGAAAGGCACTGGACTACATTCTGGAGTCACAAACACTTCCAATAGTCAGATGAAAATATGAAACACTTGACAGAAAGAAATGTACACACAAATATTTTAATATATTATTGCGTAGAATTTCAGAGTTTATCTTGACATCATTCGTGAACCCCTAATTGTTGACTTTGTTCAAATCTTGACTTTATTTTTATACAAATATAGTACATGCTCCTGGTAAAAATATGAACAAGACAGAAAAGCACAAATATTGAAACAACAAATAAAGACTCCTACTGGCTAGAAACAACTAGTATTAGCATTTGGTAATCATGTTTCCAGACATTTCTGTCTCAATGCAAATATGGAGCAAGAGAGATAAACATTCCTATAAGAATGGAATCGTGCTGCATATGCTCTTTTAAAAAAAGAGAGATTATTTTAAAGGCAGAGTGACAGAGACAGGGAGAGTGAGAGATCTTCCATCCACTGGTTCACTCTCCAGCTGACTACAATAGCCAGGACTTGCCCTCAGCTGAAGTCAGGAGCCAGGAACTCCATCTGGGCCTCCCCTGTGGGTGTCAGGGACCCAAGTACTTGTGCCATTTTCTGTTGCCTTCCAGGCATGTTAGCAGAAAGTTTGATTGAAAGCAGATTAGCTGGGCCCCAAACCATGTTCTTGGATGTGGGATGTAGGTGTCCCAAGTAGTGGCTTAACCCAGTGCTATAACTCCTGCTCCTATTTTGTTAAATAAAAATATTTAAACTCAGTTTTGTAGGAATATAATAGAAGTGAGAGAACTGATAGAAAATTGGAAATGTTTCCAAACTTCCATTAAACACCTTTTTATTATAAGTATTATTAATCCCCAAAAGGACTCCTCTATGGTTAAGAAACATGTCAGAGAGGCTGGTGCTGTGGCGTAGCTGGAAAAGCTGCCATCGGTGATGCCAGCATCCCATGTGGGGGCTAGTTTGTTTCCCGACTGCTCCACTTTCAATCCAGCTCCCTCCTAATGGCCTGGGGAAAGCAGAGCAAGATGGCCCAAGTGGTTGGGCCTCTGCTACCCACATGGGAGACCTGGATGAAACTCCTGGCTCCTG